GGGAAAGAGGATGAATAAGAGACATGGAACATTTAATTTGGAAGAATTCCACATTACCTGTAAAAGGCTGGAGACCAGTCTCATAAACACCCTGCTCTTTTCCCCGGTAAACCAGGATGGAGTCATTTCCCCTGCAGTTAACAGCACTGTCAGTTGATAGGCATCCATCCAGATTGACTCTGACAGCACTGCTGGACACAGATGCCAAGTTAACGACAGCACCCCGTGCAAATTTAACATCCTTCATGCAACCACCGAAACCTAGCAAATAGTAAGGGATTAGTATCACATAAAGGGCTTGAGTCATTAATTACCAATCATTTTTGTCCTCTGTAGTGCTGCATTTTGGGGGAGGGAGGTGCTTAGATATAATTGTTCAACTTTCAAGTCCTGTGGGGGAAATCCTTCTACTTTTTATTGGGCTAAGTTGTGACAAAGAAATATTTCTCTTTCTGTTATCTTGCAAAAACATACACAGATAATGACCATTCAACTTGGGGTATTGAAAAGCATTTATTTTCCCTTCTTTGGCCCACATTTTCAAAAGCCCATTTTGTCTCATGAAATAACATTTAGGCAATTATGTGTTATGGTAAGGAGGGTATCTCTATGCTGGAAAATTAAGTCCCTGTGTAAGTCAGTGTTTGTTAAGTGCCCCAAAATAATATTTGAATTACCATAATTAGTCAACAAACTCTTTGGGGAGATTTTTGAGGATTTTATGTAGGAGAGCAGGACAAGAGAACCTACTTTCAAATTATATTAGAATCCTGAGAAGATGCTCCATAATATTCCCTTCAGAGGCATAGCACTGCACCCTGGCAGAATTGGCATAAAGCAGCGGTATCACCATGCTTGGCAATTTCACTGAGTTCCAAAATATTGAATATACAAAATGGTCACCTGTATTATGTTCACATTAGCATGACAGGGACCAGGTTGACCTTGAGCTTTGGTAAGAGCACCCTGAGGTTTCTCAGAAGGCATGCCCTGCACAAGTCACCTTAGAATAACCACTGTGCAATACAGTTGTATGAGGTTTAACAGACAACGTGGATGACATGAATTTGAAGTATTCATGACTGCTATGCTAGAGAACAACCAAAACAGGTACTCAGTCGGGGAGAGAATGGTGCTCGCTTTCAACTACATGCTGTTTTGTATAAGCAAAAATCAGCTCAATGGACTTTGACATATCCAAAATGCTGGGTACCAGACATATTCTGTATTTCAGATGTTTTTTATTTTTTTTCCCAATTTTGGAATATGACGAATTTAACAAGCTATTTTGTAGTTAGGACACACGTTTAAAACAAAATTTATTTATATTTCATATACACTTTATCTGAGGAGCCTTCAAAATACAGAAGTATGTACAGAAAATGCATACTATGAAAAAACTATTCACAGATTTCAAATTCTGTTGCACCCAAATAAATTTATAATTTAATTCCATTATTCTATGAATTTTTCAAAGTCCCCTGGTACACATGACCTTATGGTAATTTTCTACATTTTTTGGGTTCTGTTTATTTCAAGAGAGATTTTTGCTACAGGGCACATGTATTCACCAGAGAGACAAAAAGCGAGTCATCCCCCTCCTCTCGCCCCCACTGGGAAAATGGTCACGCCACAATCCCTTCTCCTCCATTCTCTTCTCAGGACTTTGGGCATGCATGCACACATGCCCGGCATGAGTTTTAAGGAACCAGGTCTGAGATTCAAACCACAGTCAGCAATGTGGGAGTCCAGCACCTTAACCAATATGCCACCTGTTGGCCCATTTTCTACATGTTTGTATTGTAGTATTTTGACTATAACCCATCACATGAGGCCAGAAATGCAATTTTCCACTTGTGGCATCATTTTTAAACTCAAAACCTTTTTAATTTTAGAGCGTTCAGATATAGAATGTTCAGATTACTAATGATTAGCCTATACTCTGTTCAGAAAACTGCAGGAAATGGGAACACACAAGACTGAATTTGAAATTGCACATACCACATTCTTGCTGAGGGAAAAAAAAAACTGTCAAATTTGATTGGCCACAAACATGATTACCTCTTTTCAAGATTAAAGCACATCAGCAAGAAATGAAAATAAAACATAACACAATGCTTAACAGCAAAAGAAGTTAATAACAATGACTATATTGTTCTCTTCAGCATTTATATGATGGCTTATTATGTCTTCCAACACATTAAATTGCAGCCTATTTCCTTTTAAATGCTTTTTTGCAATTATTCACATTCCTTTAGGCCAGCTGATCAATACTGCTAGTCTATCTTAAACACACAGTAGCCACACAGTAAGTTGGTGAATTGAATGGTAAGCAATAAAACTCAATAGAAAAGCATGTGCTGGAAAATTCAGGAGCTAAGAATTCTAATTTCTTTCCTTGCCGTGATTTTCTGATGGCACAGAGCTGAGCTCCCTTTCTTCTCTGTAACCTAACTTCCCAACAACAAAATGAAAACAGTAAAAAGGAGCTTTAGTAAATACATAAGTGGTGCTATAAGAAATGTCATATTGGAGCTGGCAGGTGGAGTGGTGGTTAAGGGCACTGGACTCCCACATGGTTGACAGCGGTTCGAGTCCTGGGCCTGGCAGCTTGCTTTCTCACTTTCTGCCTCTCTCTCTCTCTTTCTCTGTCCCTCTCTGGTAAAATTAAAAAATAATAATGATGAATAAATAAATAAAAGTTTAAAAAGTTAAAAAAAGAAATGTCACATTGAGGAGTAGAGAGTTCAGTTTTTATGAAAAGAACTCTACAGACAGATGGTGGGGATGGTTGTCCAACAACATGAAGATACTTAGAGCCACTGAACTGTGTACTTAAAAATGGTTGCAATGGTAAATTTTATTTTATGTATATTTTGCTATGGTTTTTAAATATTAAAATTTTAATAAAAGTACATGTCATAAAAATTAATTCCCCAAATAAAATTCAAAATATAGGAAAGGCCACAGAGATTGTCTTCCATCATTATGGAGATAAAGATTTAGAGTTACAAAATGAAGTTTACAAGTAACACTAATCGGAAGAAAATGGTTCTTCACTTTGGAGGTGAAGTTGCCAAGCTCTATTAGAAGATCTTTCTGTGGTATCATTACCTTGGTGAACAGAGAGATTGGTCAAATAAAGTTTGCACCATTTTTTTCAACTCTGCATCACCAGAAACTTTCTCCATAAGCTTCTGAATGAGGTGTAAGAAAAAGAGATGAAAAAAATGTTTGCAAGAGGAGTAGAGATATTTTTCTTGTTCTTCTGCCTTTGTGAAAACAAAAAATGATCCTCCAACCTTTCTGCTCACCCACCTCAATCTTCTGAATAACTAAATAAATAAACTATTGGAAAAGGTAGCACTGAGCTCCAGGTTGACAAATCAGAAAAATAGTGGCCCTTCTCCTAGAGAAGGCAGCCCTGCACCAGGGCGCTTGGCTTGCCCATCAAGCTAGGTTCCAGCCCCCACTCTCTCTCTCTGTGTTGGGGGCCTTGGGCAGAGGATAACCTGTTATGCCATATGCCAAAACTCAGTCATGCCCAACCTAGATATAAGTGATTTTCCTAAGAGATAATTCTAAGACAAACTCCCATGATCTGAGGTGGTTCATTTTTAGCAAATTATGTGGCCTACCATTTCCAAAGCAAAAGGGAAAATTAATTTTGCAGTTGATTCAAAGGAAGATTACAACATTAATGGATAAGAAAAAAAAAAAAAAACTAGCACTAATATGACCACAAAATAGAATCTCTAAAAAAAAGGATGCTAATTAAGATGCATAGAAAAGGAAGAAGAATTATTTGAAGAATATTGATGGTGCATTGAAAGGATACATTAAGTGAATGTGACTCATTTTAATTGCAATTTGACTACATACATGTATTGAGAATATGCTCTCTGATCACCGTAGGACACCTGCAGTTGCTCACAGAGATCAGTCTGCCAAAACACCTGAATCAGAATCTTGAAGGATGGAGGACATAACATTTGTATTTTTAATAACCCTTCCAAGATAATTCCCATGTATCTTGAATTGCAATGGTAATAATAGCTAATTTTCATTTCTTACTATGTTTCAGCTACTGTACTTCCATATTGTATCAATGGTTTAAGAACTATAGCTATGGATGATACTGCCAGGATAAAAGTTTAGTGTCACCCATAAGTACAATATCTTTCAGTATCATAGGTTTAACCATAGTATAGGTAAAATTATTCCCCTTAGGTCTGTGTTGATGTTTTAAGCTTCTGTTATTATCATCTTACAATTCTAGTTTTGAGACATGTCTCTAGGGCTTTCAACAGTAATGAATTCAGGTGTAGTTCAAAATACAAGACTGGATATGCAGGAGTTTTTGTTTTTGCTTTTTTTCCTAGATGTAAAGAGGAACAAGGAATCTCATTTATATGTGAGGTATTCAAGTTCTTTCTAGCCTCGAAACCTGAAAACCTAGAGAAGCTCTTCTACCAATGTAATATTTTTAGCTGCTGTTACATCTTAAGTGCCTTGAAAATGTCATTACTGTCTTAGACCCCAGTTATTCATTAACTCCTTACTACTACCCTTCTAAAAGTGTCCTTAGAGCGTGCCATATATTTTCTATTCAAAGGTATTTAAATCTTTATGTACTTACCAAATAGGCCAAGACTGCTTCATGGAAATTTTAACCATTCAGAGTACGTAGATTTAGAAATACATAGAGAATGTTTTCTACATGGCAGTATGCTTGGGGTCACATGCTGGAAGTTACTGTACTTCCCCCACGTCATAGGAGGAGAGGAAGAGCATTGGCCAATGCCCATTACAAGGAACACTATATTACAATGAGGACAGTGGACTTGAACCCAGAGTTGCCTCAGACTCACTCACTGTCCTCTAATCTGCTTCCTAGCCATGTGACCTGAGCAAGTTCCTTCCTTTTCTGCTTTCCCGTGTCTTCATCTGTAAAATGGGATATGAATAATAATGCCTAACTCACAGGCATATTGAAGAACTGACTCAGTGATCTTCAGGTAAAGCTCTCAGAACCATGCCTGCCGCAAAGCTTGCACTCAGATATTGTCGCAAATATTGTTAGCCTTTTAAAATGAGTAATTTCTCTGATTATATTCAAACTTGTGTCAGTTAAATGCCTGTTTTAGTTTTTTTGTTGTTTTTTGTTTGTTTGTTTGTTTGTTTGTTTTGAGGGGTTTTCACTATAGGGCGCGTGCGCTCGCCAGACAGACAGAGAGAGGCAGAGAGACAGAAAGCGAGAAATCCCCCCCCAGGGGGAATGCCAAAGCCGCAATCCCTTCTCCTCCATTCTCCTCTCGGGATCTTGGGCACGCATGCACAGGCTCCCGGCATGAGTTTTAAGTCACTGGGTCCGGGACGCGAACTACGGTCGACTATGTGGGAGTCCAACGACATAGCCATTATGCTAACTGCTGGTCCCAATGCCTGTTTTAGTTTTAAGCAATATACTGTTCTTTTATATGATGGCTATTACTAATGAATGACATACATATTTTTCACAAGTATGTTTGGAATTCAACTAAACTCTCCCTTTTCCTGTGATTTTTTCTGCATGAAAGCTCTATTAAAAGCATGGTGATAACTAGTATTTACGTCATAGACTAAAAAATAATAATAAATTTAATTTCCATTTTCCCAGTTATGCACACCAACACATTATCTTCATCTGTAAATATGGATACTGACCAACACCCAAAAGAACTAGAATCACATGTGTTTTCAAGGAAAATATATGAGGAAATTTATTTCCATATATATATATGTATGTGTGTGTGTGTGTAAAGAAAATTATCATTGCCTGGGGCATGTCGGAATAAATATGTCTATTATAAATAGGATGAGAATACATTCTTAAGGGAAAATATAAATCTATCAGGAGACATAGAACAAAAAAGGTGTGTAAGAGGCAGGTAGGTTGCTGGGTGTTGTTTTTGGCCTGTATCTGTTGCTATAGCAGAAAACATAGAACCACAAAAGCCTGGCAGGACCAGAGCTACATGGATTAGTGAATGCTACTAGACAGAACTTACCTTGTTCAAAACTCAAGTGTTTGTAAGAGTCCTGCAGCTCCTGTGAGATCCCTCCTACATAGACTGGGGAATTCACCACCAATGGCTGGGCTCTGGACTCTGACGCACGCTCCATCAGTTCATTCATGCTTGCTGATATGGAGGAGCCTTCCCTTTTAATAATTACTTTATTCCACTTTCCATCACAATAAGACAGTCCCAGCCAGAGATCCACTTGTGTAAAGGTAAGACTGGTTTTTAACTGGAAGCTCAATATTCCACTCTTCAGTTCCAACTGTATTTCATATGTAAAAAAGAGAATACGTAATAAAATATAAAAAGGCTTCAGAATGGCTACTTGAGAGAAAGCAGAAGGTCAATTTCTTGAAGCAAAGCAAGGAATTTCCCTGAAAGGACTCTATTAAAATGTCCTATTTTATCCTAAGTAGAACTGGAGTAACATCTAGTGAAATACTTTGCAAGTTTAAAATTGACATGAAGAATATATTGAGTCAAATGAATTAATACACCTGATGATTACATGCATGCTACGCAATAGGCTATTATGTAGACGTAGGTCATTTTGTGCGCATGTGCAGGTGTGAGTGTGTGTGTGTGTGTGAGTGTGTATACAATGTAGCTAAAAGATTAAAGCCCAGCATAAGTGACTGAATGGCTGGAGAGAGCAGAACAGTTTGAACTATGACTCTATTTTTGAGTTTTTAGAAAAAGAGAAAATACTACTTCATGTATCAATTTAATTTTGGGGAAAATATGACAAGACAATAAGAAAATGAAATGTCAAGCTTGATTAAGCTTATTTTAAGTGGTAAGCGAACTCAATTTCAAATTTGTAAGATATTTTGATTCAGTATTTCTGTTTCATTCTAAATCTCTAACATAATTGCTTCTATGTATATTCTATTAGGTTAATGTGCCATTTTCTAATGTGAACATATTTTACCCAAATATTCATGGTAAAAAACAATATTCAATTTATGCTTGCCTTCGAACTGTCCCAGTATAATTATTTTACATGTTTTTACTGTGTTAGGAATCAAATCAATGACTACGGGATATTTGAAAACTTGAGTTTTATTATATGAAATAAAACAAATGGCCCTGCTGGATAAAAGGTTTTATTTTTTCTACATAAATGTTATCTTTGTGAAGCACCTAAAGTAAGCAGTTGTTCACTTACCCATACATTCATTTAATAAATATTGAGTCCCTTACTACATTCCAGTCACCTGCTACTCTAAAATAAGAACTATTCCCTAAAATCACCTGTCCAAGAGCAGAGATAAACATGTGGGGGCCATACAGGGAGGGTACAGCCCAGATAGGGAGAATATTTCATAGGAGTATGTACAAGTAGGTTTATTCCCCTCAGGAATTAGAAAAGATATAAGATTCATGGAGTTTCCTCCAACAGGGGGGAATTAAGATGCACAATGTCAGGAAACCATTAGCTGAGAGGAAGGTACCAAGTTAGGTAAGATAGATGGTTCAAACGGAGGTGGGGCTAAGTTAGAAAGAATCTTGCCAGGAACACAGAGGTCAGATTTGGGAGGGTTGTGAGTGATAAGGGAAAAAAAATCATCTTACTCTTGTCTGTCTGACACCAAAGCCTTATTCTTTCTGCTACTACCTTGTGCCAAAAGGCCACGCTCCACATCCTAAGAGGTATATGATGGAAATAAAATCTTGACTAGAATTGAGAAAGCCTATTAGAAAATCAGTACAACTGTGAAACATTTTGAGAGTTATTAAATAATGATAATAGAGAAGGCTCATTTTAAGACTATTTTAAAAATCAGCTCATTTGGTCCTAGCAAACAGGCAAATGTTTTAATGAGTAACAGATAAATCAAGGGCACCCTTCATCTTTGTGGGGTATCTAGGGGGTGTTTGGCCATCATCATGATATGGAAAGCATTTGAAGGAAAGGCTGAGTGGTGATGCTGATGGGAAAACAGTGAGTTCATTTTAGACATATTGAGTTCGAAGTGCCTATAAAACAGCTTTTAAGGTAGTTGGACATAAAGATACATAGATGTGAGGATGGGAGTGTAAAATGGAGAAAGTTCATGACAAAATGAACTCCAGTTATTGTAAGAAGATTGAAAATAAAAAGGAAAAGAATCTAGTCTTTGGCAAGAATAATGTTTAAGAGCAAGGTAGAGTAGAAGTAATTCTTTAAGGTGACAAATATTCTTGTAGAAGCCAGAAGTATTAAAAAAAATCAAAGAAACTAGTATTTGTGAAAGTCAATAGAGGAAAATATATTAGGTGAAATAGAAATAATAAGGATGATAGAAAAAGGCAAACAGAACAAGGAATGAAAATGATGTATTAGACCAGGAAAAGTGAGGGCCATTGGCAACTGTAGAAAAATGCATTTGTAATAGTGAGTGGAACAGGAAGCCCATTTCTGGTAGTTTAAGGACTGAGGTAAGATGAGAGGGTAGAAATAACAAGAGACCACTTTCAATGCACTGGGCTGTGAAGGGAAGGGAAGAACAAAGGAGGGAGTTTCAAAGAAAAAAGAAAAGGGGCCAACAGGTGGTGTTGTGGTTAAAGCACTGGATTCTTACATGGCTGACTGTGGTTCAAGTCCTGGACCTAGCAGCTTGAGAATCACACATGTGTGTGCATGCCCAAAATCTCAGGAGGAGAATGGAGGAGAAGGGATTGCAGCTTGGCCATCTCCCTGGGGAATGAATTGGCACTTTCCCTCTCTCTCTCTCCAGTAAGCACATGTGCCCTATGGCAAAAATTTCAACAAGAAAGGTCAAAACTAAAACAAAGTGAATACAACTAAGACATTTTGTATATTGAGAGAATAAGATCAATGTAAACTGCTAAACTTAGAAAAAGGAAAGAAGTTGTGGAATAAGATCTTACAGAAAAGGGGTTAGAATCTAGAATAAAGGTATGCATGTTAACTTTGGTTATAAGCATGATAAGTGTATATTCTCCCAAGTCATGAAGAAATAAATCCAGGCTTGGCTGATACAGAGTAAAGTTGACAGATACAGGGGTTAGAAATTCTTTCTTTGTTTCTCTTTTGGTTGGAACCGCCATCTTCCAGTAATTAACCAAAATCACAAACACAAAGGGAGGGAAAGAGAGGCACCTGATATATGTTCTCTAGGCCTTTTAGAAACATGAAGTGGTTCCTTGGGCAATGTATATGGGAATCTACAAGAAAGGTGATATTGTAAACATCAAGGAATGGTTCAAAAAGGAATACCCTACAAATATTACCATGGCAAAACTGGAAGAGTCTACAATGTTACCCAGCATGCTGTTGGCAATGCTGTAAACAACCAAGTTAAGGGCAAGATTATTGCAAAGAGAATTAATGTGCATATCGAGTATATTAAGCATTCTAAGAGCAGAGATAGCTTCCTAAAGGGTGTGAAGGAAAATGACCAGAAAAGAAGGAAGCCAAAGAGAAAGGTACCTGGGTTCAACTGAAGCCCCAGCCTGCTCCACCTTGAGAAGCACACTTTGTAAGAACCAATGGAACGGAGCCTGAGCTACTGGAACCTATTCCCTATGAATTCATGGCATGATGGGTGTTAAAAATAAACTAATCTATAGTCTATTAAAAAAAAAAAGAAATAATTTCTTTGTTTTTATTAGGCAAGTGAGAGATTATCTGAAAACATTAAGGTTGTGGTGTTTTCTAGATCCTAAGATTCTTTTACCTTCCTTTCCACATCTACAATATGTTGGAAAATCCTGTAAACAGTAAATATTGTTGAACGAAGTAATTGGGAACCTTAAAATGCAGAGCATCACAAGTCCTCCTACCTGTATTAGGTCCCGTCCCTTGTAGAGTTCAGCAATCCAGCTATTGAAACTGAAAAGCTATATGCTGAACTGTTTGATCCAGGATCAAGAAGCTGAAGACACAAGATCAGGGCACTGGTACAGAAATGACTGCAGATCTCTATTTGGTGTGTCACGTTAGAGAGTAAGTAAGTTAAATAAAGAGTGGGTAAGAGCAAATGGTCTCAATATCTTGGTGAACTCAATTAGAGAGAAAGGGAAAGTGAGATGATATTTTGAGATTTAAGGTTTGAGCAGCAGAAATACTCTGAAGTCTATCAAGCACCAGACAATAGTCATGCACATTGAAGTCACTCAGGTTAACAGAAACACTTGTGGAGGATTAATCTGTAAGTAGTCTAAGTCTTCAGATATGGAATACTAGAATGATAAGTTCTATGACAGTCTGCTTCCTTATGGTTGTATAGGAAAGGCTAAAAAAACCTAGCATAAAGTAGACAGCCAATATGTATTTGTCTAAATGTATGGATTTAAATAAAAATTTAAGGCTTATTTAATACATTGGGAATGTATTACATTTCCAAAGTCACTGACTGGAGGGAGATGGAGTGCTGCTAGGTGGCATAGCAGGATATATGAACTTCCAGCTGAGGCCAATCTTAAGAGGAGGAACCTAAGGATAAGTGTCTCTGTGTTTTCCATGGGTATGCACAGGTAAATGATGACAGAATGTTTGGTGAAGGGCATCCCAAGTGAATTCATTCACACGTTCACTCATTCATTAAACCTACGATAATTATTAAATTAAAAAGAAGGCAAGAGTTAGATACTTGAGGATATGACAGTAAAGAAGAGCACTAAGGATTCTGTATTTATATGGATGAATATAAATTTGAGTGGAGGACGCTAACAACAAACAAGGTAAAAAATAAATACTTGAAGCAGAAGTTTTAATAAATTCCATGAAAGGATAAATCTCCATTTACTGGATCAGCAAAATTGGCATGCTATAAACTAGGCATGAAAAGTCATTGAATTGAAAATATCATAGAATCCTAAAATTATTGAGATATGTATTTTATTGCCTATTTGCCTAAAGAATCCAAGAGTAAGATATCTATAATTTTCATTTACTACTATGACAGTTCTTTTAAAAATCTTTGATAAAAATCAACATTTAAATAGCATTCATTTTTGACAGTGGTATCTAACTGAATGTTTAAAGGCAAGTAAAAGCAGTTATGCTCATCCATTGCATCTAAAGTAATGTATAAAAATGTTCATATTAGTCTTATTCACCATAGTAAAAACATGGACATAGTCAATACATAATAGATATTCATTATACACCCCTCAAATGTATACCTATAGGGAAAACATAAATGACTCAGAAACAATGTTGAGTTCTGAAAGCAATTGCTCAAAGATAAAGTAAAATATAACTTTCATAAAGAGCAAAACCAAGAATTTTTAGGCATTTATATATGGTGTTCAAACTATAAAAGTGAAAAGAAAGAACACATATCATTCTGATTATATTATATTTTATTTCTTAGGTTGGATGGTAGGTTCATGAATATTCATTGGATTATCATACTATGTTATGTAAATATAATATTAAGTATATATATTTGTCATAGGTATTCATTTAAAACTATTATATAAAACTAAAATGAAGATTTGTTTTATACAATAAGGAAACTGAATTGGATTTTTAAAATTCCTTACATACATATTTGGTTAAAAATACAATTTTCACAGTAATAATTATCATTAAAAATCATTATGATCCTAATATACAAAATGTTTCAGAGGACTGCAGAATGGAAAATGGGGAAATAAATGAAAATAAAAGTAAATATACACAGTAATCCCAATTTAGTATAAAGCTAATAATACATAGTTTATTTTAAATTTAAGTCTGATATTTTGAAGTAAACTAATTAACTTACAGAAAGAAAATCAGGTCCATCTTTGTTGTAAATGAAGAGAAGCAATCCATTTAATTGGTCAGTTCTGAACTTGAAGGAAATCTCAAAGTCTACTCCACCATGAAATATATACGGATGAAGCTCCAGGAATCCTTTAAAGATAGCAATATGTATAAATTAGCATACATACGGCAATACTTCCAGAATTACAAGGGTGTTATAAGATCTAGGACATATATTGTCATTTAGTAAGTCTCTCACAAAAGAAGATGCAAATCAATGTTAAGAAATCCCTCTTGTAATTGTAGAAAAGTGGTGGAAAGTACTTGATGCACCTTTTAAGAGGAAACAATTTGTTCCCTAAATCACAGAACAGTCTGTATCATGCAGGGCTACAACTGTTCCTTGTATTAACAATAAGTAGTTGCATTAATGAAGAGAAACTCAAAATAATGGAATTGATGAGAAAAGAACAGTGAAAAAATATACAAATTATATTATTAATATCATCCTTTCTATCCTGAAGGCAGTATAAGCAATGCAATAACCAAACAATTTAGTTATAAATACAGGGGGCAGAGGTGTTTATCTGAAGAACACCCTATGTCTACCAAGTGACCATGTTCCCCTTCTGGTCCTACCCCTCGATAGCTGCCAACGCAGAGACTGTGGGTGGGGAGGGATGTCATGGGCAATACACACCATCTTTGCTGTAGCCATTGGAGCGATGGCAGGGAGGTGGTTCTGTTACAGCTCTCTCTCAGTGGTCTACTTCACCTATTACATAGCTAAAATTTTGCTCTTAGGACTATTTTTCATCATAAGATAAATAGGTATTCATGAATTAACTTAGTAAACAAAACGTCTCTGAAACATCTTTCCAAGTAAAACTGTAATCGGATTTCCAAATAGCTGATTTAAAAACATTCATTTGTGACACCAACATATGTAAACTGAGACCCAGGTAGGCTGTCAGCGATGTGATACGTACATACTTATGCCTTGTCATTTATATTACATATTCAGACTTTGAGAACATATGCATGTGTATCCTGGCATAACTAGGTGTTGTGTGATACTAGGTTCATATGAGGTCAAAGTAATCATGCAGGCGAGATAAAATTATGCCAAGGATAGAATGAAATACTAAGCAACCGCAGAGGACTATTTTTGAGCGTTACCTGTTCCTAGGAACTGGGCTCCTTCATTTAATGAAGTGGGGCATCCCTCCCAGCTGTTATACACATTGATTTGCTCTTCAGAACTCTGCCAATCCAGAGGTTCCCAAACTGCAGTCGGATTGTAATACTTCATAAAATGCACATCCTTGAGACAGCCCACGAAACTCTTTTGGATTATCTCTGCAAGAGTTGATAGATATCAAGATATATATTTTTTGAAAGACTATTTTCAAGCAATTAATTTTATGTGCTATTAAAATAACAGAAATAGGGAATAGCTCTCACTACCCATTTACTGCAAACCTCGTAATGATTCACATAAACACTACACTATCAACTATGGCAAACAGTAGTTAGTTAGAATGTTTAGCTCTAGTCTAATCTGACAGTATCTGCAGAAACAGATGTTTATGTAAACACCTCGGTTTTTCAGTACTAGCATAACTATTTCCTATTGAACCAACAGAAAATAAAGTACTATAACAACTTTTTAATGTAAGATTTGAATAAAGTGTTCCTATTAAATCTATAATTTGTAGGTTAGTTCTCTTGACATTATGAATTAGTATATTATCCAAGCTAATAATTTGATTTCACTTTTAGGAATTTACATAATATTGATCTTACATGTGGAAATCTTCACACTCGGTAGATGTGGGATTTATGAATATGGCTATTAGGGTGATAATAGGAGGTTGGGTGAGACAGTGAGCAGAGACAGATAAGCGAGGGCAAGAAAATGTTGAGAGGATGTGAGAGCACAGGCAGCAGAGACTGTATTTCATAAAGGAATGTCTTTTCTCAGAAGATGTGAAACATGGAGATAATGACTTGCTTTTAGGAAAGGTGTTCACCAGCAAAGTTTTACAAGGCCAGTTTACATACATAATGAAATAGTATTTATTCATAATGGAGATGCATCCTCTGCAGGAAGGGTACACAGTGTTGGGATATTTTCTCCTTCTGATACAAGGACCTACCTTTTTTTTTTTTTTTTTTGGAGAGGTTTTTGCTATAGGGCACATGCACTCACCAGACAGACAGAGAGAGACAGAGAGACAGAAAGCAAGAAATCACCCCCCAGGGGGGATGGCCATGCCACAATCATTTCTCCTCCATTCTCTTCTTGGCATCCTGGGCACGCACACATATGCACCCAGCGTGAGTTTAAGCCACCAGGTCTGGGACTCGAATCGCAGTCGATTTCGTGGGAGTCCAGTGACATAGCCATTACGCTAACTGCTGGTCCCACAAGGACCTACTTTGAGAAGAGTTTCTTTTAACAAAGAGGAGACCTAAAGATAAGTTCTAAGGATATTTATTTATCCATATTTTGATATAAAAATATAACATGGGATATAAAAGAACTCTTCATCATACTTTAAAATAATGTAAGTTGATTCTATTCTAAGTTTTGGTGATAACGTATAATTCTATACCTTACTAAACTTACCAGGATCCTTCCTGCGAATGGTATAACTGTGTGGTAGCCCTCCCACAAACACTCCTGTATTTTCTCCAATAATAGTACTACCATTCAGAGCTGCTGAGGAACCTACAGAAATGAAGAGGAGAATCCCAACTTTAACAGGATAATCCATTTCTACTAATTTAGCCAATAATAAAACCCACCACCAGGTTTGAAATGCAATTCTCTTACAGTACTTCTCTTACTTCAGTGCCTGTTTCTGTTTGCTTTTCTCTACTGACTTGCTGTTATCATCCTAGCATCATGTTACTGAAATAATCTAGATTCCTTCCTTCTCAGAGCCCTTTCTTTATCTACCTACTGACTTCCCAAGTCTACTAGAAGGATGAATAGTGATATGAGCACCAGCAAAATCTACTGGGGCCAATGACCAGAGGTTTCTGAGTCCCCAGGACATTGCATAACAATACAAATCCTCCATGAAGATCTCTATCTAACTCTAAAAAAAAACTCTTTCCCATTTTGAGTAGAGAGGAAAATTTTTCTTTTTTTCCCCCCCACAATTCAACCCACTTACATCTGGTCTCTTGGCTTTAAATACCATCCATATCTGACAATTCTTTATGTGTATCTCCCATCTGGATCTCTTCCCTGAACCCAGAATCATATGTCCAGAAGCTAGCTTGAAATCTTCACTTGGATGTTTCCTGGATAGCTATGTCTTAACATGTTCAAAACTGATTTCAGAATATCTAGCTTTCAAGCTTCTCCTACCATTTTGTACATCTTAGTTCTACAACTATATTCTTCCAGTTTTCCAGACCTCTAACCTAACAGCCATGCTCTACACAAGGAACCAGCAAGCTTTATCCAGAGCCAAATGGTAGATATCTTAGGTTTTGTAGGCTATATGGCCATATGTAATATATAAATGAATAAATATTTCAATAAAACTTTATTTATGAAAACAGGAAAGAGCTAGATTTAGCCCATAAGCAGTAATTTATCGATCCTTACTCTGTGCCCCAATCTCATCAATAATTCCTGTTCATTTGAGGTTCACATTATAACCATAATCTGACCATTTCTTATTAAATCCACCATTATCTCCCTGGCACCCTGAATTACCACAGGCAGCAGCCTATTAACTGGTTTCCATGGTGTCATCCTTATTCTCCTTAAAATTTATTATCCATACTGTGGCAAGTATGATCATTTCAGAGAAGGAAGACCTATCTTATCACTCCTCTCTCAAAATGTTCCCATGACTTCCCTCTTTCAAAGTAAAAGTTCAGGAGTCCTAATATAATCTAACTCCTCATGGCCTCGGTGACCTCATGTCCTATTGCTGGCCCTTCCACTCCCCCTTTTCCACACTGACACTTCGTTGGTCCTTGATTTGCCGTGTATAGTATGCTCCCACCTCAGGGTCCTGATAATTACTGTTTCTTTGGTCTCAAACAGTCTTTTTCTAGACAGTTGTAAGGTTCGCTATTTCATCCCTTTAAATATCTGTTCAAATTCTACCTTCTCAGAGAGCCCTTCCATAATAGTTCTTTGTAAAATTGTAACAATCCCCCAAAACACACACACACTCAACAGAGACACATACGCATACACACACCCTCTATGATCTTTAGTGAAGACTTACCTTGCTTTTTCAATTTTCAGAATTTATTATCACTTGATACTTGTTTAAGTTTGGATTGTTAGGAAAGTCATGGTACATTTTTGCATAGAAAAATGTTATGATATTCCTGATGACCTAATATTTATGTGTCTTTTGTACAATATTCCCTTTCAAAATGTAAATTCTACAATGTTCTGTTTGTTCTCTTTATTGTCTTTATTACATAGAGCAGTACCAAGAACATAATGGTTTCTCATTAAAAAGAAGTATTTCTTGGGGTCAGCATTTGGTGTGGTAGTTAAGGTGCTGGACTCCCACATGGCTGACTGTGGTCTGAGTTACAGATCCAGTGGCTTGAAAAGCATGCCTGTGTGTGCATGCCCAAAATCCAGAGAGAGGAATAAAGAAAAAGGGACTTGGTGTAGCCATCCCCCTTGTGGGGTGAGTTCTCATTTTCCCTCCCTCTTTCTCTGTCTTTCTTGTGAGTGTATGTACCCTATAACAAAAAAATCTCTTTAAAAAAGTATTTTCAATTAATTGAAATAATTTACATCATCGTAAAGGTACAGTAACTATTTTATGATTAACCGAGAGAAGTAGGCAAGATAGGCTGGAAAGAAAACCAAGCATCAATATGCAAAGATGGATATGTATCTCAAGATGGCTGTCTATCAACTGCATACACTGAGAAATTATTCAACTTTTCTGATCCTTGGTTTCCTCATCTTCAAATACAGATAGAACTCTTTATTAATCTTTGTTTGCCTCTGGAGGTCAAAACTAATAGGAGAGAACATAACCAAAAGCCCTTGTAAAATGCAGAGATTTGTAAAAGATGAAGAAGGCCTGATGGTGACTTTGCTCTTATTTTTGCTTTCCTGATGCCCTGCAAGAGTGGGAAACTGGATGCCAGACTTCATTTTAGGATGATGAAGTCTACCCTCAAGGCAGAATCAACAGTAATTTAGATGAAACTGACATAGATGATGGAAAATAAGAGTCAGAGAAATATAATTGACACACACACACAAATAGAGACATCAGTATATCAATAAAGATATTTATGTATATTAAGGAAAGACTTACCTGTATAGCGACCATCAAGAGTGATTTGGCCAAAAGCTTGGTGCCTAATAGCAATTACTTCATGCCATTTTCCATCATTATATTGCTTCCTATGATCATTAGTTGTGGTAACTTCCACTGATGATCCCTTAAGGGAGTGGATAAATAAAAAACAAAAACTGAATGAGTGAATGTCTATGTGCGCACGTACATAAACCAATTTACAAATTTCAATGTATATGATCCTGATGCATGTATACATTTTAAAAGAACCCAAAATTAAAGTTTATCTCTGGCATCATTTTGGATTGCTTGTGATGTTCTTTGGACACCAATATTTAAATATAAAAAGAATCTCTTTTTAGCATATGAACCTCTCCCTTTGAAAGTTTATATATCTCTTTTATGTGAAAGAAAGAGCATTAGAGAAAATGAAAGAGAGGGACAGACAGACAGATGTTCATGATAGGATCTCTTCAGGCCACACTCCCTCACCTAGCTTTCCGTCTAGTCAGAACCACAGGCACCCATGTGTGTGCACCCAGCACATCTTAGGTCCACCCTGGAACCAAACCAAGATTGGCCATATGGCTCCAGCACTACAGAGTGGCTGCCACCTGAAGCACTAAGACTAGGTCTGAAATAAGAATCTCTTACAAAGGCCCCTGCATTTTGAATACCTATATTTATCAGAAAGGTAATGAGTTTTTTATACCAAAATTTTAGGTCTTAAATTTTTATAAAAAATAAAACTTTAAAACTAATAAAATATCCCTCAAAATTGGTTCTTAAGACAGAGAAATGTCAGACAAGTTCATTTCTCTTACCTTCACAAAACTAATAAAAAGAAGGTGTAAGATTTGTATTAAAAATTATCAGGTTATGGGACCAGCAGTTAGCGCAACGGTTATGTCGCTGGACTCCCATGTAGTCGACTGCGGTTTGAGTTCCCAACCCAGTGGCTTAAACTCACGCTGGGTGCGTGTGTGTGCGTGCCCAAGATCCCAAGAGGAGAATGGAGGAGGAGGGATTTCGGCATGGCCATCCTCCCTGGGGGGTGATTTCTCGCTTTCTGTCTCTCTGTCTCTCTCTGTCTTTTTGGTGAACATGCATGCCCTATAGCAGAAACATCTCCAAAAACAAAAAAAATTATCAGGTTATTAATACACTGAACATTAACTGTAGGGATTACACTTAGTAGCATATGCTTTATAATCTAAAAATCTAAAATTATATATCTAAGGTAATAATATCATACTTAAAAATTATTTCCTAGGTATACAACTTTGAAAATAGCAGGTACCAAGAACAGAGTTAGTAAAAAGTAGGTGAAGGTAAGAAACAAGGAGACAGAGAAGAGGCATCTGCCATCGGCTCTGAGTGAATGGTGTGGCAATATGTTATAGTTAACACAAGTAACTTAGGTAGTACTAATAAGGAAATAAGACTAAATTAGAAAAAAAACTTTTTCATCAACATCATTTTCTGCTACCACTATTAAATAAAAACAAAATGGAGCTAGAAGGTAGTGTGGCAGTTAAAGTGCTGGACTCCCATATGGCCAACCAAGGTTCAAGACCCCAACCTGGTAGCTTGCTTCCTCACTCTCTCTCTCTCTGTGATGGGCACATGTGCCCTATAGCAAATTAAATAATAATAATAGTAACAAATAAAAGTAAAATAAATAATTATTTTAAAAAAGAATAAACAAAATGACTCTAGGGTATTTTTTTGTTTGTTTGTTTGTTGTTTTTTGTTTTTTGTTGAGAGAGAGAGATTTTTGCTGTATGGCATGTGCACTTGCCAGAGAGACAGAGAGAGACAGGAAGCGAGAAATTATACCCAGGGGGGATGGTCACGCTATAATCCCTTCTCCTCCATTCTCCTCTGGGGACCTTAGGCATGCATGCACATGAGCCAGGTGTGAGTTTTAAGTCTCCGGTTCCGGGACTCAAACCACAGTTGACTACATGAGAATCCAGTGAAGTAACCATTATGCCATCTGCTAGTTCGTTCCCTTTCCTTTTATTTTTTTTAACAAAGTTGATTTGATTAGCAAACTAGATTCATTAACCTAGTTTCAACAAGCATTTTTGAAGCTAAAAATGAGGTTGGTAAAATATTACAGATTTTTAATAATTACCTAAAATGTTACACCAAACTAATAATTTTGACATACTGCTTTTGGAAAAGAGAAAACTGAACATTATCTGATTTACTAGAGCTGAAGATTAATATGGCAACAGAAACCCATTAATCATACCATCTTAAGTAAAATATTTCTGTTTACATTTTCCTAAATAGCTTCAATGATATAATACGTCCATTCTACACATTTAATTGGCTCCTGTCGAGCCTCATAAAGAGCTTGACACTATGTTTGACATACAGAATTTCATGTTACTGAAGTAAAAAAGGAAAAAAAAATAAAAAAGAAAAAGACACAAAAACCCAGCTTTTAATTTCCCACCAGTGTGAGTGGTTTCCTTCTTAAATGGACAGTGTCCCAACGTTTACACACAATTCGGTCAGCAAGAAAGACCATTTGGTAAGTTCATTTGCTAGTCCTTGAAATTTTGTAGGTTAACTTTGTTTCTGTTTCTTCTACATACTCTTTTATTTTCTTCAACCCTATTCCAACATTTTAATATTTTACAAACACACATTTCATTATCGTGGTTTAATAATTAAAACCAGAACTGGTGTCGTGCCCAATTAATGTGCCCTGGTAGCATGCCCATTAGTTTTTCCATTAGTGAATTCAACAATACTAATGGGATTACTAGCATGGGATGCTAATTGGGCGTGACATAAGAAACTGGCTTACTTCTTAGCATACCCTTGCTAATGATGAAATTAATGAGCATTTTATTAAATGCTGTCTCATCAAAGTGTACTTAGTTAGCGTTAAAATTGTTACAAACGATGCTGCATTCTAAAGATCAGGTGTCTGAGTAAGTGGATCTTCATATTTTGTTTGGCAACAATCTGAAGCATGAATAGTTCTCTCCATAAGAAATCATATTTAGTGAAGACAAATTCAAGTACACAACCTACAGAGTCAGTATGCCAAATTTGCTTTATACTTTGAGGAACTTAGAATATTACATCTGATCGTGACTTTAAGAGTATTATCTACTACTGCTATTTGAATAATTGTGTGGTAAATTCTGATGCCACATTATGTAGTTTGTTCTTCCTGTTTGGAAAACGTAGGACACATGGGGCCAGCAGGTGGCATGGTGGTTAAGGGTGCTGGGCTCCCACATGGCCAACCACGGTTCGAGTCCCAAACCTGGTGGCTTGCTTTCTCACTTTCTCTTACTCGTTCACTCTATACCTTTCTGGTCAAATTGAAATAAAAAAAGTTAAAAACAAAACAAAACAAAAAAACAAACGTGGGACACATTAAGGAGGCTATTCAGAATTGACCAGAAGCTTTCACTTGCAGTTTCCTTTGCAGTGAAACCAGAGTGTTACATGAGTTTCCTGTTAATGCCACTGAACATAGAACATTTAAGTGACATCCATGGGTCATTTCTGGTCAACACCGTATTATCTGATCAAGTATATTTCAAATAAAAGTTAACCAAATAAAGAATGAGAAGGTTATGACTAATTGTTGGAGACATAACAAAAAAATATGGCGTTAACTTTTCTTTATTATGTCTTTTAATAATGGATCCACGTGTTCAGATCATAATATGTAAGCACATTTCCAATTTTTTTTTCAAAGAAATGTATTTGTTATTGGGCAAATGCACTCACTGGAGAGACAGAGAAAGACAGAGAGACAGAAAACAAGAAATCACCCCCTCCCCGGAGGGAATAGCCATGCTGCAATCCCTTCTCCATTCTCCTCTTGGGATTTTGGACATGCATGCATACGTGCCTGGCATGAGTTTCAAGCTGCCAGGACTTGAACCATGGTCGACTATGTGAGAGTCCAGTGACATACCCATTATGTAACTGCTGGACCCCACATTTCCAATTTAAAATATTTCAAAGAATCACTCCCTCTTCCCCTAAGCATATATTCAACAGAATGCCAGGTATAGTTCCAAGAGAACCAAATAATATTTTACACCTATATATAGTATGACACTGCTAGGTAAAGAATTCATTATTAAAACTCATTAGGACTTTTCTAAAAGAGCAAAGTACAAGATGATCTAAAGTTACTTTAAAACTATGTGCTAGACAGTAACTCTAAAATTTCCTGAAAATATTCTTTTCACAATTTAAAATTTAACTATTTGCAGTGGATTCAGAAATAGTAATACAAAAATAACCATCTTCTATTTTTCTGATAACAAAGTATTAACAGACAAATAAAAGCAAATATGAGCTAAATTGTTATACAATGGACCTTGAGAAAGAACAGATCTTCATGGAGAACGTGTATTATGGAAAAAAAAAAATGCCTGGATTTCAAAATTACTTTGCACCAAAATTAACTTAAACTTTAATTGTAGCCAATCCATGAACAGACATTTATTGAACATCTACTATGTTCCAAAAATTGTGCTAAGTCCTAAGGTTGTATTCCTGGACAAAACCTAGACTTTGCCTTATTAGATTGTACAGTCTCGTAAGAAAGGCACATTAAGTACATAATTACTTATGTGATGAGTACAATAAGATATTCACTAATCTTGTCCTCATTTAAAGATAAAAGGAAAGAAAACTGGCTTCAAGTAGTATCTAAAGTAACATAGATACCATTATAAAGCCAATATGAGGCATGTAAAACAAACTTCTGGGGTCAGTAGGTGCTATGTTAATTAAGGCGGTAAGTTCCCACGTGGCTGATCATGGTTGGAGTTCCAAACCTGGCAGCTTAAGAATCACGCTGTGTGTGTGTGTGTGTGTGTGTGTGTGCCCACAATCTCAAGAGGAGAATGGAAGAGAAGGGATTGTGGTGTGGCCATTCCCCCTGAGAGGCGATTTTTCACTTAACCTATCTCTGTGTTTCTCTCTGGTGAACACAAACCCACTATAGCAAACAAACGAACAAACAAACAAAATTATATACCCATTTAAACCTGTAGTAGCCATAACTGTGTACAAGAAGCTATATTCCTATTCTTACCCAAAAGAGACATCACAGAGACTATTCAAAATTTTCTCCACTCTTGAATTTTAACA